TGCGCTTGACGCAGCGGCACAGGATGTCCTGACCGCCAGCGCCCTTCAGCACCTGGAAAAACTGCAGCACCTTCTTGCTGTAGTTCTTGGCGCCGCCCTGCACTGCCGCCCCCCCTCCCGCACCCCGCCGCCGCCGGCCTGAGGGCGCCTGCTCGTCGCCCTGCTTGATCCGGATGATGCCCTCTACATCTGACTTAGTGAGAAACACATTCTTGGCGCCGTTTTGGCGCCGTTCTAAGGCATAAAGGATGACAGGTTGGTTCATAATTTTAAGTTTGCGTCAGCTGCGGGGTGCGGGAGGGGAGAAATAGAAGCCTTAGAGACTCTGAAAGGCGAAGGAAAGGGAGGGATCGCGGGAGAGAGCGTGCCTGATGAGCCAGACGAATCGGGGGAGGTGCCACATCAGCGGGCAACAGATGCAAGGCTGACAAGCCTCAGAATAGGGAATAGCATCATAGCGATCAATCATAAGGTAACCAGGAAGCGGGAAAACGCAAGGCAGGGAGCCGGCTCAGGCTCCTGCTACATAGTCACCCATTTGTGAACCCTTGCTAACAGCTGTCAATGCTTGAACTGCTGTTGCTTTCATCTAAACATCAACATGGGGCGTCTCCAGATGGCTCTGTGGCTGGTTGTGGTTGCCACAGGTGCGCAAGGGGGTCCTCTTTACCAGACCGTTGCTTGCCTGCTACTCCGGAGGCCTCTAGATGCTGATCGTCAGCCAAAGAGGCCTTTGAGAGAAAGGCCAACCACAGTGCAGCCCACCATTCTGGCGTGCCCCTGGTGCGGCCGCCACCACGACGGGCGCATCCTGTCACAGAGCTGAGCAGCATTGCAATGCTGGCTGTGCCCCCCGATGCAGCCGCCACTGCGACTGCGCAGCCAGCGACAGAGTTGAGCAGCAGCATTGTACTGGCGGTGCCGACTGACTACCTGTTGGATAGCTCGGGCCGCTCTCGGTGCATCGACATGGTGCAGCGGGCGGCACAGTACAACGTCAACCGGTTGCAGTTCGTGCCGACGCTGTTTTGGGTAGATGAAGGTGCGGAGCCGCTGCCTCGTGCGGTGGCCCGCCTGAAATGCGCCTGCATGCCCAGGTCATGCCGCCAGCCCACGCTCTTGCCACACCTGGCGCGAGGCGAACCGCCCTGCAGGCCCGCTGAACCCATCCGACGGATTTGACCCTACCTGCAAAGGCCCCGAATTTCTTGGCGGCTACTACTGTTACAACAGATTCAATGCCACCACTGTCAGAAACTTCTGCTACGATCGGAACGACTGCTCCTCCCCGCCCCAGCCCAGCGATGTCCAGCGCTTCCGCGATTCGCTGGCCGCCTGCCTAAAGGCAGGCAGGCTGCAGCCTGCTGGCATGGCTCTGGGCTTTATGCCCCCAGCTGCCAACTGGTCAGGCCAACCCGTTCATGCAGGTTGCCACCGACCGCGGCTTTGACATTTCAGTCAACCTCCATGTGGATGATGCCACCAAGGGTGGGCTGGGCGGGTGGCGTAATACCCTCAACTTCAACCCCGTGGAGCCGTACAGTGGAGTCAGGTGCGGCTGGGTGGCACACAGTCGCTCTGCACGCGTGCACCAGATCCACCTGGCCAGCACGTTTTGCGGTGCAGCAAGCTTGGACACTGTCTAGCGTGGCCTCACACGCCGTAGTTGCACACCCGGCCACATGCAGCTACGTGGAGGCTGTGCTCAACCCTATCGCTGATGCCATTTCTAGCGCCCTCAAGAGCGACACGCAAGTCTGGGTGACGATGCAAGGCGAAATGGGGGTGCGCGATGGCTGCGAACTGGCCTTGGCTGGCACCATGGTCTGGCATGAGGCGCCGCCTGGGCCAGATCTTCTCCCTGCAGCTCCAAGTCGGTGCTGGACCTCGCTTACCGCCCCGTGCGCTTACATGCAGGCTACAGTTTTCTTCCACCCTCGCGAGTGGCAGGAAGTGGCCAACCAGCTGCGTTCCCGTATCACGGGCGGCCAATCAAACAGGCGAGTGTGGGGCGGGAAGGACAACGCAGTCCAGCAGCAAATGCCTCCTGGAGTCACTGATTGCTGCTGCAAGCTGCTGCAGCAACGTCTATATCGGGGTTGGGCTGAACAACGCCAAGCTGTGCGGATGCATCCTGGTGCCCATCATCGACCAGCGGGAATACCTGGCCAAGTTTCCGGCAGCCTTCGAGGAAGTCGAGTCAGGCACGGCCCAGAGACTGACATGTCCCAACTGCACTCTCTTTGCTGGTTAGAAGCAGCCGACAGCGGCATGCGACTGCTGCTTGCCGGCCGCGCTGTTGCAGAGTTTGATCTTCCAGCCATCCAGGCCTTGTTCAACAGCGCCGTGGATTACATCGGGCTGTCCGCCTACATTCCACAAGCCTCCGTCCGCTTCGAGGTGAGCCAAGTTTTTGGCAGTGCGGCGGCGCTGGTGTGCAGGAACAGCCAACCAAAGCGGTCAGGGATGCCCTGCCTTGCCGATGGTGCAGGCCTGTGCGCTCGAGGGACTCATGACTCGCTTGGACCAGGAGTTTCAGTACTACGGTCTCACCCTTAAAGACCTCATCGCCAAAGGCAAGCCTATGACGCAGCTGGCACGATGGTTGCATAGAACAGGCATGGCAAGCGGGTGGCGCAGCCCTGTGAGCCATGCCTGCCTGCCTGTGCAGGCAAGGAGGTGCACTGGATCGAATTCGGAGTTGGTGGGGGGTCCTCTCCCACCGGCGACAAGAAGGCCACAACAGCCGAGGAGGCGGCATACACGCCCTTCTTTGGTACGTGCATTGCTTGGCAGCCTGGCTAGCCCACTGCGTGACGATGTGCGCAAATGCAGCCGCCCAGATGATCAGGCGTGATGGCTCTTCCTCGCTCCGGTGGATGCCGGTCGCAGGCATGAGCGGGCCCTACACGCGGGCCAAGGACCCCTTTGTGCTGTACGACCTCTCGCGCCCCTCCCCTGTCCGCGATTACGCCCGCTGGTTTTACAATAAAACAGCAGAGGTGCAAGAGATGGCATGGTTCTTCTGCTGCTGCAGCCTGTAGCAGATGTGCAGGCGGGCTTTTGTGACGAAGTGCCTGGCGGTGGCAGGCCCGCTCCCTCCATTTCCGCCTGCTCCATATCCCTGATATGTCTTTGTGCTGCTGCATGCTGCAGTACCTAGCCCAGGGCGGCTGCGATTACACAGTGGCCCACGTCTACATTTGGAATCTGGAAAGCTGGGATGTGCAGGTGCATGTGCCCATCTGACAAATGGCGGCTGGACCTTCCCGCCTGGCAGGCTCGGTCACCCCACTTGTGCCTGCCGCTGCTTGTAGGCGCTCTACCCGCTGAGCACCACCAGCGAGGGGAGCTACCGCGACCCGGTCATCACGGACCTCATTGATAGCCACAACGGGCTTCAGTGAGCTGCCATGATATTGTTGGCCTGCCGCCTCTTTTGCGCCGTGCAACCATCATCGCTCGAAAGGCCTGCGCCCACTGAATGGCATGTCAATTCACTAGCACGCACAGATGCACAAAACGGCAATGCCATGGCTGATCGCAATTTACAATCCATCTCGGCAGACAGCTGGGCCTGGGTCAACGGAGGACAAAGTCAGCGGAGCGGGGGTACAAAGTGGGCGGTACGTGGAGTGGTGCTCAAGCTATCGGCGTTTCGGTGCAGCAGCTCTTCCTGACCAGAGCTTCCGGTGTTCAGTCAGCCATGGGAGACGACGCAACCGAGGCTCTGCTGCAGGTGGGCTTGGGTTCTGCAACAAAAGCATGCATGGGGCTCCCGGGCGTGCAAACCTCGACCCCGAGGTCGGATGGGCCGCGCACAAGTACGGCGCATACCTCCCGACAGCGGTCGGCGGCTTCCTAAAGCCCGCCGCCAGTGCTGCCGCTACGGGCGGCGCCGCGATTCGCCCCTTCCGAGCAAGGGCCCAAGCCCGCCTGACCTGCCCCTCCCCCTTCCCCGCTCCCACGCAATACAGGAGGTGCATGCGCCATGGGAGTTTGCCTCCCACCTGGAGACCGGCGGGCCAGACCCGCGCACGACGGTGCGGGAGCTGCTGGCGGGGCAGGGCAACTCGGTGGTGACCACGCTGCAGCAGCGCGGCGTCACCAAGCTGGGCGAGTTCCTGGTGGAGTCGGACCTGGTGTACCCCGCCTTTGACGGCGAGCCCATCCTCACCCTGGGCAGCAAGGAGCGGGATGTCGACTTCGAGGCGCTCTGGACACGCCACCTGCAAGACTCGCTGCCCAAGCGCGAGCGCCCCACAGGTGTGCTTGTTTGGTTGCGAGGGAGGGGGCAGGGGCGGCGAGGTCAAGAAGCCGGATTCCGGGGCCCCATGCCTGGGCATTGCTCGTCCCAACATGCGGTTCGTTGAATGCGGGCACTGTGCCGTTCAGGCTGGAGCAGCAAGGTGGTGGTGGAGGCGTTTGTTGTGAATGTCAAGGGCGCCGCCAACCCCGACAAGGATGGCCTCATCCAGGCAAGGCACTGTGGGAGGCAGTGGTGCCGTGCCGTGTGCCGCTGCCATTGACAGGGAACGCCGCTATTTTTGCACAGACCAAACATTTGCCTCTCCTGCCTGTCGGCCTGCCAGACCATCCTTGCCCTTGCCCGCTGCGACGCCATGCAGCCGCTGCTCAAGCGGTGGCAGGTCGGAGCCCTGGAGACCACCGCGTTTGGGCTGCCCGCCGTGCAAGCCGTGATTGAGTTCAAGTGGCGCGTCTTTGCCAAGCGCCTGCTGCTGTGGCAGCTGGCTGTGTTTTTGTGCTGGCTGGCCTCCTTCTTCACCTTCGCAATCCTTTTTCAGGTACGTTTATGTGGGGAATGGCGGGCAGACGGGATGGCTGGGTGGGGCAGGGTGTGCTCACCACATGGCGTGGATTGACACTCCTTCACAACCCCTGCCGCTGCACAAATCCACCGGTTGTTGTGCGCTCCTCGATCCCCGCGGCTGCATGAAAGGCACCGGGCGCCGACCCGTTGACCCCTGCGCCACACATGAAAACCCCGCAGGACGAGGACCCGGACGCCAGCCTGGCCCAGGTGCTGGAGACGGGCAGGGGCCGGGCCACGGTGGCGGCTGAGCTGGTGGCGCTGCTCAGCATGGTCCCCTTCATGGTGGGTCCTCCGCGCCTGGCCGCAGCCTGTGTGGCCAGCGCCGGCTCCTGCGCAATCTGCGGCCCGGCCAACAGAGGCCTCCCTTGGGTGCTCCCCCGCCCCGCAGATGCTGGAGGTGGGCACCATCAGCGCCTACAAGCTCGGCTGGCTCAACATCTGGAATGGGCTTGACGTCTGCACCTACCTCCTGCAGGTGTGTGCGCCGCGCCCTTTGGATGAACCCCCTGTGCCAGATGGCGTGTAATGTGGCTGCCCCCCCCGCCCCTGCAGATCACCATTGCCATCCTGCACTTCTCCCGCAACGTGGCCAGCGGCTACCTCAGCATTGTTTGCGCCCTGCAGTGCATCTTGCTGCTCTTCAGGTGGAGGCTGGCTGCTGAGGCGCCCAGCGGGGGCTGCCGCAACAAAGAGCGCATCTGCCGTTGCATGCCTTGGTCTTGCCAAGGGTTGGGCGCTGCTTCCCACCCGCCGCACCCCTTCATGTTACGCCTGTGTGCCCTTGCTGTGCTGTGGTGTGCAGGCTGCAATACTTCTCCCGCGTTTTCACCGCCACGCGCTTTGCCTTCCTCGAAGCGGGTGCGCCGGCCGCTGCCAGTGGCGGCGCCGCGCCTGGCCTGACGCCCAGCCGGGGCCTGCTGCCCATGCAATGCACCCGTTCCGCCGGCGCCCGGTCGCTGCCACAAGCGGCCGACTGCCTGCACGCTGGTGCGCATCCTGTGTGCAGTGAAGGAGGCCATCTCCTCCATCTCCGCCTACCTCGCCTTCATGCTGCTCATCATGTTTGGCTTCGCGGGTGCGTGCCGTGCAGCTGGCCTGCCCCGCCCTGCCGCTCACTTGGCCTGCCCTGCCCTGCGCCCCTGCGTCTGGCCAGCCTTGCCCAGTTACTCGCAATCAATGCTGTGGCTGCTGTGCTGTGCTGTGCCGTGCAGTCGCCTTCCACGTCCTCTTCCGTGCCGACCAGGAACACGAGGTGGGGCTGGCCAGGATGGGGCGGAGGAATGATGGCGCTCCATGCTCGGCTCCTCCAGAGCAGGCCCCTGCTCCGCGGCACCCCCAACCGCCTCACTCCCACACCTCCGCCCCCCCGCCGCCGCCGTCCCACACGCGCACTGTCAACTGTCACACTCGTTGCCGCCGCCGCGCAAAACCCTGTGCAGGAGTTCCGCACCATCACCAACTCCTTCCTGCTCATGTACGCCAACCAGGGCGAGCTGCTGGACCTGGACATCATGCGCTCCAGCCACAACCCGGTGCGCAGCAGGGCGGGGAGGCCCTGGCAGAGGGGGAGGCCCTGGCAGAGGGGGCCGGCCCTGGCCTGGCCTCTGGAATGCCGTGGCCGCCGCCAGGCCGCTTTGTGGGGCACAGCATGCGCTTGCTCCGGCCTGCCGTGCGTCAGCCTCAGGCCACCACCTCTGGGATCTGGCTGGTGGGTGCCCGCCGCGCAGCCCTGGCGGCGCAGCTGCTCCCAGCGACGGCAGCCCTTCTGTCGCCCTGCATTGCAGGTGGCCGCCACGCTGCTGTCGGTGGGGTATGCATTTGTGATGGGCATGGTGAGTTCTGTTCAGAGGCCATGCATTTGTGATGGGCATGGTGAGCCCAAGAGTCACAACAACAACAATCACCATCACCATGCAGGTCATAGTCAACATGCTGATCGGTGTTATGTCCAATGCGCTGGAGAAGGTGCGAACCTGACACTACGTTGCCTGCCGGCTGTGTCGGCATGCTGCCAGGAAGGCGCCTTGTTGGCTGGGTCTTTAAACCCTGGATGGCTGGCTGGGTGCAGACGGGGGAGCACTCTGGGCTGAAGATGGCGCTGCACAAGGCCAACATCATCGACGAGATGGAGGCAACCATGCCCCGGTGAGCAGGCTGGTGGGTGGGCGGGGCTCCGCAAGAGGCGCTGCACAGGTGCAAAAGCCGCAAGCTGTGGGCTGGCCACACTTCATCTACAGCTGCCTCCTGCCAGATGCTGCCTGGCGCAAGATGCTGCACTGGCGCGAGCAGCTGCGGGCACGCTCCCCAACTGCTGCCCTTGACCCCTACCTTCCTGTGCGCACCTCTGACCACGCTGCGCGCCCCCCCGCTTCCCCTGCGCAGCTGGCTGGAGAGCCGGTTCATGGGCTACTGGTACCCAGACTACATCCACATCCTGCGCATCGACCCAGACAGGTGGGGCGATGTGCGCAGGCTGTGTGTGGGGTGGGGGGGTG